CATCATTACATCACCAAATTCATTCATTTTCCTTCAGCTTAGTCCCTTTATTCATCAGGGGTCACCACAGCAGAAGGAACTGCCAACTATTCCAGCATATGCTTTACACAGCGGATGCCCTTCCAGCTACATTCAGTACTGGGAAACTAGTCATCATATTATCAAAAGCATATTTCTCTGCAATGTAAATCATAAATCATGGAACTGTGCACATTGTCATTTCATTTTATTTCATATATCAGTGTAATTTTTTTATTATGTAAAGACGTACACAAATGACATGGAATCAAACACAACTGGAAATCAGAGAAATACAAATAACAGAAAAAAAACCATAATAAAACAGTCAAATGTGAGTGCATGTGTGTGTGTGTGTGTGTGTGTGTGTGCGCATGTACAGGTAACTGGGTGGGTAAACAGGTCAAAGTATATAAAAAAAAAAGAACATAAAAAATATACAACATGCATAACAGTAGAAAACTTATTACAGGTTGTGAAAAGTATCAAAAAATGAAGCAAGAATAAAACAGATACAACATATAGCTGGATTATTAGATATATAATATTAGAATAGTGATGGGGTGTATAATGATAACACTAACACCAATGATAGTAATAATGACAGATTAATAAAGGGACTAGGCCAACAATGAATAAATGAACAAAATGAATAAATGAGTATATATATATATATATATATATATATATATATATATATGAGCAATATCACAAGAGTAGCAGTGCGATATGGCTGTATATCGTCACTGGTGGGAGGCGTGCGTTAGTGCCCCCACCAGTGCCGATATACAGCCATATCGCACTGCTACGAGTGTGATATTGCGCCTATACAACAGTTTGACAGCATAATTTTGTATATAAAAACAAAATCAAACATGGAGAGTCTCAAAAACCCTTTTGTAAGAGGAACTACTTTCTTCCGGATTCAAATCATAAGCTGACAGGTAAACAGCTGAGCAAGCATCTTTTAAACTTTAGATTTCTAGTGTCTGCTTTTTGCAGGCTGTATGTGGGCGGAGTAATACACAAAGGGTAAAGAGGCTGTAGGAGTTCTGATATTGCAGAATATCGCACGGCTATCAGCCAATCAGATTTGAGAACCAGACAGAACTGTTTTATATATATATATTTATATATATATAACAATAAGGACTGCGTGATGGCCCGGGGCCAGCATGAGTAGAGAGAATCGTTACTGGCCTGATCAGGCCATTGCTGCCTTGTCACAAAATTTAATTGGCCTGCGACTATTTGTCAGTTGCGTGCAAATACAGTCTTAGAATCGAGAAACAATTTGTGCTACTAAGTCTTTGAATGCATCCTTTTCTGTGAAGTCGTAAACACCATATTGCTTTTTGGTTCCTTTTATCTGATTGGATGTTGTGAGCACGTTATTTTTTCCACAACCTGGTAAAACTAGTACAGCGAAGAGACGGCAACATCAAATTTTGAGGCTAAAAGAAAATGTCTGTTTCTAACGTTGTGGAAAAAGATATTTACATCGGTACAGCATGACGAAAAAAATGAAGTGATGTTTTGCCTAGCTTCCGTCCCTTTTAAGTCAGCCCCCTGTTGTTTTGCAATAAAATACCTTCACATTTTTCATACTGCTGTTTTTGACTGCTAACATTTTTTAAATATTTAAATTCTAGATTAACAGACATTATTTTTGACACATTATTTAAAATATGCAGCTAAGAAATAGCTATTTATTTATTTATTTAGGTGGGGCCAGTGAAAATTTTGGCAGGGCAAGTAAAAATCCGAACCGCTGGTCCAGTCGGGCCAGTAGAGAATGTCCTTAGCGTTGAACCATGATATATATATATATATAATAACAACAACAAACAAACTTTATCTCTCTCTTAACATCTCTTTTGTTCTCTGATTGGTTGGGTTTAGGGAAGGAGGAGGGTGGGCTGGTCGATTGGCCGGTCGCCCAGTCAATCATTCAGTCATTCGAAAGCGGCCTCTGGTGGGTTTACACGAGAACAGCGCGGGCGTGAAAGGCACTCGCGAGAGACAATTGAGATGCAAAAAACAAAAAAACAAAAACGGCACACAGCAGCCTCTCGCGGCCTATTCAAAAATAGGTACCTCCCAGGACGTCTCCAGAAATGTCCACGAGATTATGTTTTCAGAATGAGCCTAGGTTGTATATTTCAAAATAATTATTAAATAAATAATGCTTTTTTCCAGAACTCATTCTGTTCATTTGATGTCTAAGAAACGTTTGTGATTATTATTATTAGTTTGTACAAGTTTTTGTAGAAACTGAGGCATTTAATTTCCCATAAATCACAGATGAATAAAAAGTATATTATAAATGCATCTGCTGTCAATGCATCCATAATGAAGGAAGATTATTTATTTGTAAAACACACACACACAACAAATCTCACTGATTGTGTGCATGTACCTTGTGTCAGTTCTGACATCGTGGGGACATTTTGAATGAATTGAGATTGTTTCCTTTGAGAGTCAAGAAAGAGCACAGAATTTAAAGTCTGAACATTACAGCTATGTGAAGTCCCAATAAAAATAGCTGTAACAGTGTGTGTGTGTGTGTGTGTGTGTGTGTGTGTGTGCATTTCTCAAAGCAAAGGCTTGCATTTGATCCACAACAGCTCATTGAAGGGAAGGAATGCTAGAAAGGCGAGACATGGAGCAATCGCACATTTCTGCTGACAGACGTCTTTGACCTCCCTCAATAATTCAGCGCACTTGAACAGATTTCCATTCACTGCAGCCCACTGAACATTCACCAAATTCCACGCAAGCGTCGCTGAGACACAAACGTTAAAGGCCTTCATTGGGCTGCAGGGCAGAGACGGCCGATTATGAAATAATTATGAGCTTTCAGAGCAATAGTCGACTTGCTTTCATAAATCACAGGATTAAAAAGGGCATCAGGCAGCGATCTCTCTCGTGATGGTATCCGGCTCGCTCAGCCGCTGGAAATATTTCATTCCTCTGGCGTCCCGTGAGCGTCTGAATGCTGTGTGTGTGTGCCTGAAGTCTCAGCACGCGTCTGATCTCTCATTACACCTGTTTATCTGCTCTTAAACACCTCAATTAAGATCAGATCAGGCTGACTCGATACTCCACTGAAGTCTGTGCGCAGCGTTTGATGCTGTCTGTTTGAAATCTGATCATGAGAATTAAACCGCGTGTGTGTTCAGCACTTCTGTGTGTTAAAGGTTTGTGTAATAAAACTACACATCAGCATGTTTACAGAGGCATTGTGTTGTGTTTGTGCTGCTAACAAAACAACATCTGCCTCCTGATGGCATGATCTCACACACACACACACACACTCACACACACGCACGCATGCCCAGAAAAACACACACACACTCTAAGATGCACACACACATACTTAAGACACCCTCAGAGAAGCACATACTTAATCACAGACACGCGTGTATTCAGTCAGATACACACACACTTACACAACTTATACTATCAGTCTCACACACACATCACTTACACACACATGCACATAAAAATGGGCACAAACACACACACTCACAAAAAACACACAATCAGAAACAGACTTACAACAAGTGCAAACGCATTCAGACACACACAGTCACAAACACAAACATTCATAGACACACACATGCACATGCACAAGACGGGCACACACTAACAGTCAGACACATACACACAGACTTGCAACAAATTAACATGCATTTATTGACACACACACACACACACACACACACACACACACACACACTTGTACACCTATCTTTATGGGGACTGTATTAAAATGTAACTGGTTCGGCTATACTTTTGGGGACATTTGGTCCCCACAACGTGATGAATACAATTTACACACAACCTCACAAACCCACACACACTTGTTAACTATCTTTATGATGATTTATTGAAATTTAAATTTAACTGTTTCTGCTATATATGTGGGGACATATGGTCCTCACAACGTAAGGAACACACACACACACACGCTTGTACAGCTATCTTTTTGGGGACTTGAAAATTAACTGGTTCTGCTATTCTTGTGGGGATATTCGGTACCCATAATGTAACGAATACAAGCTATACACACACGCAAACACACACAAACACTCCCACACAAACATACACACACTATATTTATGGGGACTTAATATTATATTGTCTTATATTGGGGACTTATATTTAAATGTAAGTGTTTCTGCTATACTTCTGGGGACATCTGGTTCCCTCAACGTAAAGGAATACAAGGTACACACACACACACACACCTGTACGTAGCAAGTATCTTTACTAAAAATGAACTAGTTCTACTATACTTGTGGGGACATTTGGTCCCAACAATGTAAGAAATACATGACACATACACGAATACAAACACACACACACACACACACACACACACACACACACACACACTTTTACAGCTTTCTTTATGGGGACTGGTGCTGTTATACTTGTGGGAACATTTGGTCACCATTATGTGAGGAATACAAGGGACACACACACTTGTACAGCTATCTTTATGGGGACTTCATTAAAATTTAACTGGTTCTCCTATACTTGTGGGGACATTCCAATGTAAGGATTACAAGACATACACACACACACACACATACACACTCAAGCACTCATATGAAATCAGTATTATGTGAGGCTGGATGAGTTGGACTTTGTTTTCTTGCATGACAAAAGAAGAACAGCAGTCGTAGCTGCGAGGAAGAATCCTGCGACACACACACACACACACACACACACACACACACACACACACACACACACACACACACACACACACACACTGCAGATGGTTCTCTTGTGTTTCACTTACAGTGGTCTTACAAATGCATTATCTGTTGTCTTTAGCGAAAGCTCCATCGGGGAGGAAAAGCAGTAATTAAGTGTGTTCTGCAGTGCATTCACAGCTTATTTTGACAGATTTAATTGTTTTAAATTGTTAAAATAATACTTGCGCCTCTTGCCTTTGATGGGGGAAGTAT